GATTTTTCATCAGTAAAGGATCAATAACCATCTCAGGCTTTCCTTCAACCCATCTCTTCCATGCCTGTACCAATAATGATATGTTCTTACTTTCTTTAGTATGTTATATAAGTAAAAGAAACGAACCAAAACATGCAAGGAAGCTTACAAACGCTGCAAGTCCTTCTCCTTCAAAGCTATTGTTTCTTTCACCACTTATTATCTCTAGAAGCATAACACCAAAGCTGAAAACGTCGGATTTAGCGGAGATTTGCCCGTGGTTCAGGTATTCCGGAGCAATATATCCGCTGCATAAATTAGTTGATGCATTTCTGATCCAACAATGTCTGAAAGATAATGCTAAGAACAGATATGTGAACACTCTTTGGCCTACTCTGCAGAATGTTTTGATCTACAAGAAGAATCATATAAGAAAACGTTTTACAAGACAGTCTTTGACAGGTTCGTTTTGTCTCATTTTCTAAACATAAAAAGGATCTTATTTAATTAAAACGGTGTTTGAGATCACCTTCTAGGCGAGTTCTGGGAACGTTTATCTAAACATTTATTGTATCATAGTTCTAACTATCAATCTGCACTATTTTAAAAATCTATTTTATTTAGAAGCTACTATTTTTTTTTAATTATATTTGAAAGTGTGGGTGAACCTGCACATTGGCACTCTGTATATAATCCGGTTTCAATTAATTAAAAAATATGTTAATTAAAAATCCAATANTAAAAATCCAATAGAATCCTGTAAACCCCAGAAATTTGCTATTAATTAAGTGTTAACCCACAATCCGATACCAATGATCCGATAAAAACCCAATATATCTGATAATATTTTAATTTTCTTACTGAATTACTCATAGAAGTTTTTTATATTAAATAAAAATATGCTTCCTTAGACCTTGATGAAATTTTTATTATGTTATCCAAATAAAATAAAAATGACAATAGAATAACACATTTTATTGATATGAGAGTATTAGTTTATTTTTGTTACTAATAATCTATTATAAGTTTGTATCTTTTATTTTTGGATTTAATTTAATGATAATTTTAAGGTATTCTTGAACAATCGTAATCACCATATCAATATTATATATAAAATAACATAGTAGACAATATTTTAAATTTGTGTGTAGATAGGGTTTTGGTTTGTATTGAAAATATGCATACTATTCGAATAATCAATCTCAAATATTGATGCATAGAATTTAGAAAATAATATTTTGATTTTATTGTATTTATTAATCTATATAGGGTTCATAATATATGTAGGCTCAATATTTTAGCATATCCTCTAATTATATAGACGCCCAATATATATTGTTCCATTTAGGTATATATGTAGGCCCAAAACCAAAAGACTAAAATACTATTAATGAGAAATCTCTTTGTAAATTTAAAGGTATTTCCGGAAAAACACAAATTTTTCATCAAAGGGAAAAATGCTTATATAAAATATATTTTACATTTTTACATATTTGTTAAACATTATAAAAGTGTTGCAACTAACTGTTTAATATGTAAACATTTAGTTGCAGCACTTTTTTAAATGAAAAAATAAACATATACATTTCATCCCTCCAAACTTGAAAAAAATTCATTATATGCATGCCTGGTTGTATGCTGGACTGGTTGAGTTTAAAGAGCGGATAGTGCGATCGTCCTGGACCCACACCAACTTTCTTTAAAAAAAATTATGTTTAAAATATATAGAAATATTACATTAAAAAGAAATAGTGTAATAAAAATATAATTATGTGAAATAATTTAACTTCTTACAAAATTTAAACAATAGATAATGTAATTTTTTATTTTACTTTTCTATAACAAAAGTTAATACTTATAGGGTTAAAAAAATTTGCTCTAAAAATTTACTAGATAGGGTCTAATTTTTCTTTTTGCACTTGGATCCATCATAGTATTGAACCGAGCCCTTATTATATGTGTTCATAAATTATGGGATTGTGCAAATGTATTTAACTTGTAATTTGGGGTTTTATTATTTTAGGTAACATAATTTTTAATGGACTAAATTAATACCCACAATTGTATGTTTTTAAAATGATCTCTAATTTTTTTGTCATGGTTATACCGGAACCGGAATACCCGAAACCAAAACCGGACCAAAATTTTTAAATATCCGAATGGTTCCTATATATCTATACTCGAAAAACCGAACTGGAACTGGAACCAAACCGAGAACCGAACGGGTACCCAAATATCCAAAAAAATAAGTAAAAGCTTTTTAATATAGGATAAAATGACACCAGACCAACTTGAATCTAGATTGGATACGAAGAGTAAGTTCATTTTACCACCAGACCACATTCTGTTTTATTTATTCCCTTATATTATAAGTATATATAATATTTCTATATTAAAATACGATAAATATTTATAAAATTAAGTCTTTATTGATTCAAACTCTTGTTGGATAGACGAATATGTAAGTGTGTAAACACTAGACTATGAGAAATATATGATATTTGTAATGTATAATTAACCATTGTTAAAAAAACACTATACCATTTAAATTAACATATTAACTAATATATTGTGTATATATATATTTGATTTATATATTAAACGGGTACCCGGAACCGTACCGAAATCTCATAAGTAGCTATTGGGTATAAGAGTGATTTATCCGATATACCCAGAACTGAACCGAATATTCGAATCCCCAGGCCTTATATGTCAATAAAACAAATTCCATCAAAAAAAAGAAAAAAAAGGAAAGGAGATTAGTTTTTTTTGTCAAAAAGGGATTAGGTTTTATATACCTCTACAACTCTAATTTTAGAAATGAATATTTCATTTCTATAATTTTATATATGACTCTAATCTATTTCGTAACACACATTTGTTTTCTTATTTTATCTCTCATAATAACTTTTTTCTTTTTTCAACCACTGTAATAAATTGAAAGAAACAACTGACATGATATTCTTCAAATATTTATTCACAAAGTTCTGGATTTAAAATCCACGACGTTAAGTTTTATAAATTTTCTCTGCTTTTTTTTTGTCTTGGTTATATGTCAATAAAAAGTTCGATCAAGAAAAAGAAAAAAAAAAGAAAGAGAATTAGGTTTATACAACGCCTCTTGAACCTAATTTCAGGAATGAATATTTCATTTTTTTAATTTTTATGTATGACTCAAATCTATTTTGCAATACAATTTGCTTCCCTATTTTATCTCTAATAAAATAATATTTTTTTTTAATATTTTTTCAACAACTGTACTAAATTGATAGAACCAACTGACATGTTATTTTTTAGGGATTTATTCAAAAAGTTCTGCTTAAAAGGTTAATATATGTAATTAACTATATACATCACAATCCCTTAACTACGGTACGGCGAATGGTTAGTTACTAATATGTAAATAATACAACTTCTTAGTAAGGATTGCCTTATTTCTGATAGATTATTGTACTATATTATGAAAAAAGTATAAAACAAAATATACTGAATCACAAAATTACTTGCCCACTAAATATGGAAGAAATCTTAAAACATTTACTATAAAGTTAACGTGTTAACAAAGATCAATTTAAAGAATACGCTGATTTTTTTATAAAATTTACAATTCTTTCCTTATTTTTTCATGTGATTTAATACATACAATCAAATTCCCGTGTTGACCAAGTGTGTTGCATAAGATATTCGTAATACTTATGACTGTTTTAAGTTTCCGAATTTATAGATTTATTAAAATTTCAGTATTCAGTATCAAACTTTTTATACTACGAAACGTAATTGCATAAGGTTCCATAGAAATATTAAACTTAGTGAAATGTTGCAGTTTTATGAAACTTAATTCGCTGAGGAGCATAAAGTTTCTTTTTTATTTTTATTTTATTTTCAAATATTAAGTAGCATAAAGTTATCCAATCGAATATTTAGTTTTTCTATATTATTGACTTTAAAATTAATCTGTAAGCATACTTGAAGAAAAGTGTAACTTAGATTATTACGTAAGTCCATATGAGCATAAATAATAACTTAATTTGTTCTAAAATCATCTATACTATGTGATTAGATTCCAGTAGTCTACTATTTTACATTCGTATTGTTTGAGTACATGTATGAGTGGACGTTCTAATCAACCTATTCTTGTACAAATTATATAATGTTACACTACCTTTAAACACACAACGCATCAATTGATTTATAACTGAAATTAATCAAGGGTATATTGTTCCCGATGGAAGATAAATATCATGTGTGGAGACCATACGGTAGTTAGAATATAACAAAACAATATGGAGTATTATAAGTGTTATTGCATTTTTGTATAAAAACATACTAATGGCAAAATTAGTAATTACTCTATAAATTAATGGACATAAGTAAAAAGTAGTTGATGAGAACTTTCATGTTGACACGTCAGCAAATGACATGCTTGTATATATAGTATACATTTAAAGCTATTCTTTTTATTTGCTTCTCTTTTAATAATAAAGAGATTCAATCAATGTTATCAAATATAATAGAAAGTTTTGAAGTTGAAAAGTTTAACTAACTAATTTGAACTAATCAAACTTATCAAAACTTGTTTGAATTTAACTGACTTCAGCCAAATTTGAACTAAAAATAGAAACCTTTGGTTTAATAAAAAATTAATATTTGAAATATATTATACCCAAATTACCCGGGTAACCAAAAATAAAAATACAGAAATTGGTGGGATTGTCCCTAAATACACCTCAGATTTGTCATCTACCCTTCTAAAATAGAAACTATTTCGTCTGATCATTATACCCTTATTTTATTCTCTCTCTCTTCTCTTCTCTATTTTCTAATCTCTTTATCTCTCACACATGACATATTTATGCTTTCATTATTTCATCATAAATCTCTATTTTTTACTTTGATTCTTTTGACACCCATATTGCTAATGTTATTATCTCACACTAATTCTATTATTTCTAATTTCAAATCTTGAAATATACATTCTTTTATTTGGGTAATATGTAAGTTAGCAGTTATTTCATTATTTACCCGTTATTATTATATTTTAATGAATTTGTAATCGATACATAGAGTGTTAGCTGTTACAAATAGGATTACGGCTATTTGATAGATAATTGATTAAAGGTTAATATATGTATTTTTATGATAATAGTATTGTTAACATGCTAACATGTTTGTTAGCGAGTTATTTAACACATTAATAAATAGACGTAACCCGATAACAAAATTTGTAGTATGTTAAAATTTTGTCAATTTGCTAACAATTTTTATATCATGTTAAAATTGATAAATATCTCTTAGTGTTCAGTTAACATAATGTGTATCCGCTAAATCTAGAGTTACATGTTTTCGATAAAGTAAGAGGGCATTTTCGTCCGCACAGTGTCAAAAGGTTACTTCTTTTTGGATTATCCACAACCATGGACATTCGGCCAATTTGGATCTTGGTTAGGTACATTACACCAATTGTCTCATAAAAGTATCCCAGCCGAGCTCGCAAGTCTATCTGGTAAAATTTGCGCCTTCTTGATCTCTAACTTTGTCACTGGAACTAGTTGTACAATGAAACAATTCATATTTTCCATTGTACAATGAAACAATGGAAAATTTTCCGAAGACCCTTAACCTGGAAAGTGAGAAGCTATTCTTGACGTATCTTGGTTTTCCGTCTTGACCCCTGGTTGACTTGATAATCATGGTCTGTGAGATTAAAACCTAGATAGACGGCTTGATAAGTCTCTTTGGTAATTTCGATACTTTGTCTTTTTTTTCTCCTTGATTTTTCTTGGATAAAGAGTGTGCTAAAACTAGATTAAAAAATATCTTGCTTTGTAAGTTAAACTGATGGAGAAGTGTTGAGAACTGAATTTAGTACTACTGACCAGCGACATAAAAACATATATTTTTGCATCTTAGATATCTAAATTTTCTAGATGCTGGAGACTATACATCCAGCTGCACCATCTAAATACATATTTAAAGGTGTTAAAAAATAAATTTTAGCATTTGCATNGATTTTTCATCAGTAAAGGATCAATAACCATCTCAGGCTTTCCTTCAACCCATCTCTTCCATGCCTGTACCAATAATGATATGTTCTTACTTTCTTTAGTATGTTATATAAGTAAAAGAAACGAACCAAAACATGCAAGGAAGCTTACAAACGCTGCAAGTCCTTCTCCTTCAAAGCTATTGTTTCTTTCACCACTTATCATCTCTAGAAGCATAACACCAAAGCTGAAAACGTCGGATTTAGCGGAGATTTGCCCGTGGTTCAGGTATTCCGGAGCCATATATCCGCTGCATAAATTAGTTGATGCATTTCTGATCCAAAAATGTCTGAAAGATAATGCTAAGAACAGATAATTTACAGGTTGCTTAATTTTTCTTACCGGGTACCAGCTATTCGTCTTGTTTCAGCTCGAGTTTCATCAGTGTCGAACAACCTCGCAGTCCCAAAATCTGCAACTTTAGGGTTCATCTCGGCATCTAAAAGTATGTTGCTTGCTTTCAAGTCTCGATGAATAATCTTCAGCTGTGAATCTTCATGGAGATAGAGTAGACCTCGAGCAACGCCTTCTATAATCTTAAACCTCACCTCCCATGTAAGAAGCGAACGCTTCTCTTTATCTGCGGATTTCAAAGAAAACGCTATATTTTCTAACAAATATTCCAGATGTATTGTAACTAATATGTAACGTCTCACAAAGACTCACCAAAGATAAAATGGTCAAGACTAGAATTGGGCACAAGCTCGTAGACAAGAATCTCTTCTTCTCCTTCATGACAGAACCCAAGAAGCTTGACCAAGTTTTTATGTTGGAGTCGAGTCAAGAGCGAAACCTCATTCTTAAACTCTGTATCTCCTTGTCCTGAACCACTTGCTAATCTCTTAACCGCTATCTCTTGCCCGTTCGGCAAAATCCCCTGAAACCGGTCATCTCGCAATTAAATTATTGACCCATATCAAGATTTGACAAGACTTATTAGTTTATGAATTGTTTTTACCTTGTAGACAGTTCCAAATCCACCTTGACCAAGCTTATTTTCAGGTGAAAAGTCATCGGTTGCAGAGAGTATCATGCCAATACTAAACCGCAACATAGATTGTCCATCAGAATCAAAGCATTCTGAAACATACCAACACAATATATTAAACGTTTATTCTACAAAATAGGAAGTAAACTTCACTGCTGCAATTAACAGCTTACCGTTGATGTTTTTATTATAGGCCTTTCTCCTCTGGTCAAAGATTATGAAAAGACCAACAAATACGAAGAGGTTAATAACTGTAGGGACAACAATTATCGCGATAGTTCCATTGCGAATCCTTTTTCCTGCCAAAGAAAAAGGAAAAAAAAGAAGACTTCTGTCAAGTTTCATGAAAGTGAATTCTAAATTAAAACCAACTAGATTTTGACCCGCGCAACCGCGCGGGTGTTTGTTTTCGTTTATAGTTAGTTATATAAACATTTTGTTTTTACTTGTAAATTGATATATATTATAATAATCATATATTTACGATATGTATAGTAAATATTTTTCAAACATAATAATATTATATAATAAGTGTTTTAATCAAATAGATTGTTTCAAATTATCTATATTATACATGTTTTTCAAATATGTGTGTTGTTTCTTCTTCTATATTTTATTGTTTGTTAGATTAGTATTTCATTTTCAAATAAAGTAATATAAATAGAACTTGATTAAATATTAGTATACTTTAATTTGAAAAGATAATATAAACTTCAAAATTTTTTTCCTAAAAACTAAACTTATAGCTTCATAAATTAATATTATAAAGAATTTTATTAAAAAATAATTTGTAAAACTTCTTTTTTAAAACAATATAATTTTAAAAATTTACATCGAAATAAATTTATCTAATATATATAGCGTGTAAATTTTGTTAGAGTATAGAAATATTCCATATTAATAATCTGTGATTTTTGTTAATATATTGTGGATGCATTTAATCATTATTGACATATTTCCTTATAAATAGTAGAAGATTCCTAAACTTATATCTATTGACATATTTTGCGTGACTAAGTTGGAAGGTGTGGAGTAATTTACCAAAACCAAATTGTTAAGCGTATCTTTGTTATTATATACTAGGTGATTTTCCCGTGCTCATGCACGGGTATAAATATTTATAAAACAAATATACTATAAAAATTGCTTGCTATTTACTTTAATTTATAATTTATATGCATAATTTATATTAATAATACTATAGTACTTTAGCAGATGAATGTAGATATGTTATATCTAATTGGTTTTGTTATTTTTACAGTCGATTTAGTTATCATATGAATTTATTGGACTGTATCTATTTTTCTAAATTCAACTACAATGTTTTTTATTCTAAATATATTAAATTTTGATTAATTT